TCAGGTGAACTTTAAAACATAAAATATAAATGGGAATGTACTTCAGTTAGATGTCACTCCTAAGAATTTCTAGGGGTACTGACAATTTAAGAAATATATTTATTTATTGACAAGATTGTGTTTTTTGTGTATCATTATACCTGAAATAAAGGTTAGATTTTTGCTAGTATTTTAAGTGAAAAATCAGAGGGATGTGTAATCAAGAATACTCTTTTCAGCTCATGATTACCAGGGGTGCCAGTGGTTGTGGAGGGCTTTGTGTATTTTGAAAACCCACAACAACTAGCCATTCAAATGCTAAACCAGTTAGCTTAAAGAGGAATTCCACAGATTTTTCACATTTTCTGCATAATTAAATGGTTGATGTATTCATTCAGAGTGGTTTGAAGTAAAATGCCCAGTTTTAGAGAAATTTACTAAATCAGATTTAAATCTGTACCACCACTACTATAAAAATAGCAGTATTAGCAGTAATAATTGGCAATGACATACCAATATTTTATCAATATTGTACATATATTTTTGATATTTGAGAACTCTTATAATCCTACAACTAAGACTTAACTCAAAATAGTTTTTATTGTGTTTCAAGAAATTTGTAACACCTAAAATATGCGTCCTTACACCATTGTTGCATATTTTTAGAAAAGAATTAACGCATTTTGTCAGAACATAATAAACTTTAAGACAAACAGTTTGTTTGAGGGATGAATGTACAGTGGAGTCAGTGCTGTCTATCAAATGATTAAATGCTACTATGCCTTTTTAAAGGTGCTCTTGTGAAAACCCATGAGATTTTGCTTCACTTACTTGCACTGTGAATCTTTAAAAGCTCCAGGTCATTTTTGCAGAGATGTAGGTGTCTGGAATCAAACCTATGGAACTGCTCTCTCGTTTTATTACTGTGACAAATACATCTGAGATCTATTCAGCCAGTGACCTGTTAACCTTTTACCAACTATATAAGGTTTTAACTACTGAATTACTCTGCTGACTAGAGTTCTGCAAGGACATCTGGTAACAGGAAAATTGAACTTTGGACTTGAACAGAGTTATATCTAATTGGGTCTGATGGCTGTAAAGTCCCACCTATATGACCAAAGACAATACATGGGGTGTTTGTTCCTTAACTAAGCACCTGGTGCTAACTTTAACCTTTTCAACTCCTTGAGACCACTGGTGGTTCCAAAACGCACTTTGTCATGTTCTTCATAACTTTCATATTTCACAAGCTACATTCAAAAGGTGGGTGCCATATGAGAGCTGTAACTGTCTTCTTTCCAGTCAAGTTGATTGGTAATGTAATTTTAAACCCTTATAATAGAAGAAGCTGAACTGCAATTTTTTTGGCTACTGAAGAATCCAAACCCTCTTGATACCAGGGGACTCAGTCTGTTGTCTGGACAAGTGAAGTTTATTCGTTGCGCGCGCAGGTCCCAGACACCGAGCTAGCCTGTAGGACATTGGGCTGACACAGTTTTATAGCTGGAGTGATGCCAAGATTAGACCCAGCTTATACAGGACAAGTAACAGGTGTGGCAAACATGACCATGTAGGGGTAAACACAAAATAGGCAGCCTAAAATACAACTTCAGCACATTCACACTCAACACAGCACATTTCACAATAAATTCCTTCACTACTGAAAGTTGACCCATTTTTCCACAAATCTGGGCTATGCACTATAAACACATGGTGCCTCTTCAGTGATGTACTCTGTAAAAATTATTTTTATAAAATAATATAAAGAGTGTCTAAGATAGCAATATGTTTATGATCTTAAAACACATTTTCTGTTAATTTGAGGGGAGCTTTTAAAATAAATAAATAAATAAAATAAAAAAATTTGACCAAATCATAAGGCAAATTATTCAGTTACTGAATAATTTGCCTTACGATTTGGTCATGTAAATTCAGATGGAAAACACAAAATATACCCTGCTCAATAAGAGGTTAAATAATAAGCTGTGAATCAATTAATGTAAAGATAACGAATTTGAAGTTGTCCATTCAGAGGTATACCGGAGTCAATAGATTGACTCGATAAAAGAGATCCGGTGCCGCACAGTCACTGATTTCAAAAAAAGCTCCTTTCATGGGTTGCCATTTATGAAGGTAAACTGTTTAATCCCTCTCATTAGGAGTGTGTGGCTGACCAAGAAAGGCTAATGAAGTCTGTGTTGACCCTGGCAGGTCAATTAGTGAAACCTATTTGTTTATTTTAGAAATATCATTCTGAAATGGAGGTGGATTTATTTTGCCATTATGTCTTTCCCACATGCTCTGTAGTTTGAGCATGGCATGAAGCAAGGGCCAATTTATTTGACCAAAACAGTCAGTTGGATGTTCTGTGATATGAGCATAATTTGATTTGACTGACACACCCCACAGCATCAGGGTAATTATTTATTCATGCACCACAGTAATTAGAAACCCATTTGGAGGTTGCATTCTTCAGTGTAATAACGTCTTCTTTGATGAGAAAATGAAGGGTATGGTCATCATAATTGGACGCAGAAGCACTACTGATTTGTGCTGATTATTTATTTATTTTTGTTTCTGGTTGCTTCAAAGATTTTAGCCACGTAAATGTACGTGTTTCTCAACCAGGGAGCCTCAGGTGGTTCTGGACGCATAAACAAACACGGTCTTGCACAGTCATGCACGAATGCTCCCTCTTTTTCAGTGTCTTGTTTTTCAGGATTCCTGCCTGCGTTCATAGCTGTGCCTGCACAGTATATCGCTCCTTAATGATATCAGCCTTTGCAATACTGACTTAAAAATGAAGCACTAACTGATCACTGATTGTTTTATTTGTGTGCTATGAGCATCCTGAGGCATCGCAGATGTTCACATCACAGGTGTGTTAATGAATCAAGGCATTCACATTTGCATGCACAGTTGTTTTGGTCTGATCTTTGGACCAATCTTTATTCCTGTCACATATGTAGGGTACTGTGCAGAAGTTGGAGACCACCTTTCATTTTTTAATTTCTTGTGTTCAAAGAAATCCGCAGGGATGTTTTTCAATGTCTGAAAAATAAACACCTCCAAATCTTAGAAGCTGCTTGCATTTTCTGCTTCTCACAATCCAAGAAATCTCAAACACATTCAGTGATGCTGAGATCTGGGCTCTGGTGTGGCCAGTCCATTGTTTTGGGAACAACATCAGCTCCTTTGTTTGATGGTTTGAGTATGCATCGTTTTAGACCCATAGCATTTTTTTCAGATCTGAAGCAAGAGTTGAGCTTGATTTACACCTCTCAAAAAAAGAAAGCATCAAATACTGTTTATCTAATGGTGACTGTTTTGGTGGTCTACTAGGTCTTGCAGGAGTCTATTTTTCTATATCTTCTATCTTCTTCACACGTAACTCCAATTTTGGAAACTCCTGTTTTTTGCCATTTATTTCCCTTTTACTTTCCCCTTCCTTATGCGAGTGGCTCACTTTATATCTAAAATCCTCAGAAATATATCCTGAAAATGTAAGAACTGAAACGACCATATTAATCCCCCTTAATTGAGCCATTTCATTGCTAGAATGAGAATTAACGCCATTTGGGAGTAATTTGTCTGAATACGTTTTTAATCTTTAAATATCACACTGTTACATTTTCGCAATATTTTTCGGTGTAATCGCATTGGTTTGACTGGAGCTGAAACCAGGTTTTTATTCATGCTACAAGGCCTGGTCTTCTGGTGGTCTCTTCAGGGACTGAGCGTCCACAGCAGTGAAAGAGCTAATGGTATTTCCTCCTCTCTAACCCTCACTGAGGGATCTGCTCTTCTCTTTCTTTCTCTCTCCTTTTTCCGTAAGACTGTATGACTCACGCACTCTTGGTGTTCAGGGAAATTGAGAGGAAGGCTAGGGTCAGCAGGCGCCTATGATTGTTAGCATGTTTATTTGTATGTCCAACACGTGTCCATTGCTTAGCACAGATGCTCTCAGCGTGTTAAACCTCTAAGAATCTTGCGCTCTGTTCCGATTATTGTGGGTCATGAGTCAGAGTGAAGGCTGGTGTTTCCCTGTCCATCAAAGCTGTTCTGACAGAAATGGAGTCTGTAGTTAAGGCTGTGGAGATGTGCCGCTTAGTCATCCAGAAAGAAAAGGCTAGCTCTATTTCTGTGGAGGCGGGTTACTATAGAAGTCTCCATACTGTAGCTTTTCAAGGCTGGATAATTTGGGGAATTGAAAGCATGGTGAGCTCATCTGCTCAGCTGCAGCAGCTCCCACACTTGAGTCACAGCTCCTAACCATCAGCATAGGGACATGATGAACTGCTGCATTTATTACAGCTGCATAATTCATGCATGTGCATAGTGATATTAAATGTCACTGAGATGTAACTCATCTCAGTGTGTATGCACAAACACATGCATGTACGCGAGTACAATGCGTTATGCAGTGCATTACATACACCCGCATGCTAAAGTAATCCTGACATAGCGTGCTCCTAAATCACTTAAGTTTATGAGTCCCATGTTTATTTCATGTCTCATGACACATCGTGTCTCAGGCCGAACGAGCTGATGAGCTCTCTGGAGGTAAAGGGCCTGAGGAATAGCTAGGCTTAGAATCGAATAATTGATCGATCATTTGCTGCATTCTAATTGGCCCATGGGCATTAGTTAAGTGCTGGCTTAATTACCATGTGGGTGGGATCTCGGAGGAGTAGAGCTTTTGACCTGCACTTATTGGAATAAAGCCCAATGCACATGTGGCTCGCTGTCTCTATTATACAAGGTTGTGTCATTCAGTCTTGCCACAGCCTCTTCACTGTATGTGCGGAATACTGTCCAAAATCAGATAAATGCCTTTGAAACATCTGTCTCATTGTTGCAGGTGTCAATCAAAAGAGTAGATAGAGGGTTCATAAATAAAACAACCTGTTGAATTATGGATGCGGTAGAGTGGAGCTGGCACGTTGACTGATAGATGTTCTTGCCTTCTTTATTTTTACTAATATTATGATTCTCTATCTCTCTGTCTTGCTCTGCAGGCCTTTTCCATCAGAAGACACAGCTCTGAATGAAGATGATGTCTACCGGAGCTTGGAGGAGCTGGCAGAGTAAGTGTCAACATATTCACCTCCCTGACCCTGGTCACACTTTGTGCACACAATCATCCTCAAGACACTAGGACCTGGATGTGACCCTCGTCACACTTTGTACACACAGTCATCCTCAAGACACATTGCCCATTCTAATCTTTCAGCTCTCTCTGTTTACATAAACAAACTGGCATTATTCACTCCTCTCGTTGTCATGGCAATGCCAGCTTGGCATGCATCAGATCAGAGCAGGCTGGAGTTGTGGGTGTTAGGGCGGGAGGGGTGGATGGATGAGAAGAACGAGAGAGATGGAGGGTGAGAGAGAGAAGTGGCGGCGATGATGCTGATGGTGGTGACAGAGCCTATTCCCCTCTGATTAATGGGGAATAATTAGGCAGCCGGCGCAGATAGGTGTCCTTCATCAGCAAAGGGGGGTGTGACAGCGCCTGCCCTCCACAAGCTGAATGCATTAGTCTTTAGCAGCCTCTGGAGGGAGTCGTGAACAGAACAAAGCTCCAGTCACTGTTTACACCCAGCACCTAGCTAATGGCTGCTTAATGCAATGACGTACATCCTTCTCTTATATCAACTGGGCTACATTTATGGTGGACAGAGGTGGCTATAATTTTGCTCTATGGGTATTATATGGTCTTCAAAATGCTTTTTTTATTTTTTTTCTTAATCCTGCACCTGGTCCTCCACAACACTGCATAGTTTCAACTCATCTGTTCCGGCTCATTCATTTAATTCAGTACCTGAAGAGCTGGATCAGGTGTGTTGATGCAGAGAATAGTTGTTTACTGTGTAGTGTGTCTCCAAAACTGGTTTTACTGTGCACTTTGGCTTTGTTGTTTATGAAGCAGGGACGTTCTTTTCTGCTTCTGTTGTTTTGCTGTGTTCTGTGTACTGAGTGTCATGTCATGTCGTATCAATTCTGTAATGCAGAAGTTTTTGGGTGTTGTATCCCCTATTGATACTCAATGTCCCTCATAAAAGCCATGAAATAGTTCCACATGGCTATCAAACTGTTGCAATCACTGGCACAGGCGAGCAAAGGAAATGTTTAAAGTTTATTTTGATTTATAATCTCTGGCCATACCGTTCATGTCGCTTCATGTCTTAAACCCGCTTAAATCCATTCAGGCTGTAAACCCACTGCTGTCATTTTAAATGACTGATGTTGAACCCAGGTCCTAAGTCAGATCACTGCCTGTCCTGCACAGTGTGGGAAATAAGGATTCTATTAAATTAATGAAACTGCCCAACCGTGTGGACCCATGACCTTTTAAAGTGACAAATAAGGTATCTTTCTAGTTTGGTGTGGCAGAGTGATTAATGGAAAAGTCCTGGTTGTGATACAGTGGGACACACTTCAACAAGCCCCTTAACCTAGCTGCCCTCACTTACTTAATTGGACTGTGATACCGTTGTGTAGCTCAGTTCAAATGAGAATTATGTCTGCTCCGAAAAAGTGAATTGTGACCACTGGAAAGGACCGCTGTCATCTTCAGGGTTTAGCACTTTTTAAGGCAAGAACAGTCATTTCCAAGGCTGTATTAGATCAGATAAATGCCTTATGGTATAGGTAAATTTTGTTTTTCTCTCTTATGTAGGGAGAAAGTGGTAATCATTGAGCAGGTTAATCTTCCTCTAGAAATAGGTATAACAATAGTCATAAAGCAGCAGTATTTGATTCGCATTGGGACTGCGCTCTTTATTTTCTGTTCACCTTGGTGTTATGACAGTTATGTGCACAAAGCTGGGGGGGGGTATGAGCACTGTGTGACGAGATGTACGAGATGTATACTAAACCAGAGTGGCTGCAAGGATGTGCGCTAAACCAAACTGACTGCAGGGAATTGCATGCGATGAACAGTCAGTGTGTGGAGGGGTGCTTACATATGAGAAGGTTGTTAATTGAGGCCATTTAAGCTAATCTGGGAAGTCACTTCCTACTGGCTCCCAGTAGATTTCCACTATCAGTGCCCCACTTTCCACCATGTTTAACGTGTCCATCCCAAAACTGACAAAGCGTGAAATTATTCGGTTGTAACAACTAAGCTCAGAGACCTCTCCCCACCCCGCACCCTCCCCCCTGCTGCAATAGCAGTCAGCCGTCTGGACATACATTGTGTCAGAAGCTCTTTACTTCACCCTCCCTGGTAGCTGCCTCGTTGAGCGTTCTCGCTCCACAGGAACCATGGAAGCAAAGGCTTAGATGCCTAATTCATAATGTTCACAAGCATCAGAAGAGATGACCTTGTGCAGTTGCCACCTGGTCTGGTTGTCACAGACTGTGACTTTTGTGTCTCTCTTGGTGAAACTAACATTTAGGATTAGAGCTTTAATCAGGCCTGAAGTTGTAGTCCAGGCCTGAAATTTTAGTCCAAGCCTGAATCCGGCCCAAGAATTTTTTGCTCAAATCTGACCCAACATGAACCACGTTGTCAAGCCTTTGAGTCCAAACCTGAGCCTGAAAGAGTTTTGTCAAAACCTATCCTGACCTGACCCACATTATCAGGTCTAGAGTCTGAAACTCACTCCAGATGACGAATCTTCTGTTTAAAACTGAAAGTGCTAAATAAAACCTGTCAGGAGAGCGCTGGTTGAATTGCCGTGTATTGAGAATAATAGCATTCATTAGATCATGGATAAGTAACATTTAAAAATTATATAAAATAATGTGATGTAATAAGTTATTCAGCTGTCCAAAATTATATTTTACTTTAGTCATATTATTAAGCCAGCAATGTTTTCAAGCAACGTCTCAAGCAAAATCTAACAAATTCCAGTAGCCTGAATATGTGTGGTGGTGTATTACTCAAGTTAATGCTTTACATGAGATCAGTCTTTCTTACGGTACAGATGTTATGATACATGTTGTTTTTGCATCACAATATAATGCATTTTTATTACAGAATTAGAAAAGAAATGCTAACATAAGTTTAACATTTATTTATTTACTTATTTATATATAATTCACAAGACTTTTTGGTAATATTAGTATTAAATTAACAAGTTCATTCACAGTCTGATCTTGTGTTTCTATATAAAGTGTGCTTCTTGCCTTCAGCTTAAATGAGTGTGAGAGAGGAGTTTCTAATGTGTCACTCCCAGCAAACTGTGGAATCCAGTACACTCTATAACAGAGTAGTGGTGCACATGAGCACCTCTGTGGTGTGAGTTAATTGTTTTGACCGTTCAGGATGGGCACTTACTGGCTACTTGAATCCACTTGGGAGAAGTAGCTGCTGAGACCCATGTTTTCTCCATGAGACTGAAGTTCCTATTTGCCAGCTTTGTATTTAAATTTTATTTTCTGCCTTAAATGGAGCAGCAGTAACAAACCCCTCTAAATATTTTTTTTAAGATGGAAAATTTGAATGAGTTGCTGGCTTCACATACTCTTTGTTTTTTTTTTCTGTTTGTGTGTGTTTGTCAGTTTCAGGAATATTACGGTTACCCTGCATTTTATAGCATGAAATCTAAGTGTATTTGATTTACAGAGCATGTTATCTTGCAACCCCCATATAGAAAAAAAATAATATTAACGTATGTATCGTGACACCCTTAGTCTTTCAGCATGCAAAACTGATTACATCAAGCCAGGCCAGGTGGGGATGGTAGAGAGAGTCAGGCTCAGAGGCATGGCACATAATCATATTCTTCATAGCATCAATGTAGAGGCATAGACTTAAGCAGAGGGAACTCCTGAGCAGAGCTAAAAGAGCGAAGATGACAGCAGCGCCTGTCTTATCTCCACTTCAGCGGTACGCATCTAGTCACAGGTTGGTGTACCAGCACAGGTATTACCTAGTCTGAAATCAGCCTACAAGAGTATGTAAACATCTTAGCTAAGTGTGTAGCCTATCTGATAGAATGAGTCTGACAGAACATGTACAGAACAGAATGTTTCATACAGTACAGCTCTTCCCTGGCGCTGTGAAGAAGATCTATGCAGTAGATTATTACGAGCCATTTTACTTCAGTGATGTTGGAATTGTGCGTCAGCATTGTGGTTCCTTTTATATTTCCTGACATGCAGGAGTGGAAATAAAATCAGTCTTCGCAAGTGTTATCTGTGTTTTACCATAAGTGAGTCATAGAAAACACATTGTGAAGTTTGTGGAATGAAATTCCAGCCTTTTTTCAGCTTTCAAATGCCATAAATGGAGAGGTGATCCATTGGTTTGCTTCAGCTGAGCTCCTACATATACTGTAGATGCTCTGATGCTGAAATGCATGAGTATGAAGAGGAATGAGCAAATTAATCACAGGTAGCCTCAAAAATAACTAAAACATTTTATGTATTTTCCCACAGAAACAGTTTCAGTCTGTGTTTAAAAGACCTAACCACTCTAAAATGTGCTTGTTTGAGAATATAAACACACAAAGCCCTCTTTGGGCCATGTCCACGTATGCACTCTGAACAGTTCTTAGAACCGTGAACCTTGTCCACCAGACAGGATTATGGGTGGGATCAGCTGCTCTGTCTGAACTGTAATGCCTCTATGCAGAGGAGAATAATAAAATCATGATCTGATATGTCAGAGGTTTCAGTTTCCCTAAAGCAGTGCTCTATCCAAGTGCCACTTTAGCTGCCTTCTGTGTGGGGAAAGGTTTGTGGCCCTGGCTGCTCTGGGACACAAATACAGTCTGCATCGCGTGCAGAAGCAGAGTTCTTCCCTCTGCTGTCCAGAGTTAAATCAGACAGAAAATCCGTCTGTGATACCGGAGTTTGGGGAAAACACACAGGCACGCACAATGTACAAATGGCATCCGCTTTCTTTCCCCTGCCTCTGACAGATTCTGTCCTCAAACACACACTCTCACTGCGGAGTCCAGTTCACAGATCACTGAACTAAGCATCATTCAGCTAATGCTTGTCCTCAGGGCTGTTTGGGAAAGAGGAAGGCCTTTTCCTAAATCTTACGTCCTCTGTACATATTACTCTGCTCTTTGCTTGAACTCTCAGTGAAAACTACCGATTGTGTTGAGTCAGTTGAAGTCTCTGTGCA